ACAATTCACGACTGATTGTGAAAGCGACCACTGCCTTCCCTTTCTCGAGGTCCAGGTGGCAATAAAGCACAACAGCCTGGAGTTCTCCGTTCATAGGAAGCCTAGGCACACTGGCCGCTACCTTCAATTTGACTCTTCCAACCCCGCGTGCCACAAGGCCTTGGTTGTGACCACGCTACTCGAGAGAGCTAGGAACTTATGCTCCAATGACACAGAGCAAAGGAAAGAAAAGGCCTGCGTAATTGCGGACCTCGGAAAAAATGAATACCCAAAAAACTTCATTTTAGCCGCAATCCGCCGCGCAGAGCAACAGAGGATATGAAAACCCTAATTAACCTTAATTGGCAGCCCCCCGAAACGTGTACCAGATCCATACGTTCAGGTAACCAGCGACATGTTGGCGTGGACCTTCAAGAAAGAAGGGGTTCGCATCCCGCACATGCCTTCGTGTACGCTGGGCTGCCTCCTCCCCTGCCCGAAAGACCGGCCAACAATGGACAGGACCCCCGGTGTCGTTTACGGAATTCCGTGCGCCAAGTGCCCCTTTTCGTATATCGGCGAGACGAAAAACCTACTGGAACGACTGAAGCAACACGCCAACGATGTGCGGAAGTTCTACAAAGAGCGCAGCGCAGTCGCCGAACATGCTGAGAGGTTGGATCACCGGATAAATTTCGAAGCAACAGCTATCCTTGAAAGGGAGCCGAACTGGAGGAGAAGGTTATTACTCGAGTCGTGGCACATACAGAGGAGAGCCCATAACATCAACCGCTCTCTCGGAATCCCGTCCCCCAGTGTATACACACGGACTGCGCTCCACGGCAAAACGAGAGAGAGGGCGTCATTATCCACCCCGCGAGTGCTTTGAAGACGCTGCTGCTACATAGTCTTTGCAGTCACTGCTGAGGAAGGAACCAAGTCTGTTTTGAAACGTCAGGTTTCTTCAAAACTTTTGGTTGGTTCCTGGAATCGTCTCCCAGGAATATTGAGAATCAGGAGTTGAAGTCTAGCACATTCACCAGTGTCACAACACAGAAAAAACAGGACCACGGTGTGACAGTGGAAAGCAAGGTCTTTGCTTGCTTGGTTTTTTGCTTGAGCCAATGTTTTTGCTGTTACTGTTAAACCTGGATATAACGAAATTGACGAATTCTGCAAAAAATTTGTTATAAAGAAGATTTCATTATATGCAAGTTCGGTACGAAAATTCTAAATGTAAACGCACATTTTAAACAAAAAGGGAAGTCAAGGCAGAGTAACCTAAAGCACTTATTTGGCGGTAAAAACTGCGTTAATATTGCGATAGCAATTGTATACTCTCTTTCCGTGGGTTCTTGCGGTCACCGCCATGTTCTGTAACAAGCCCGAATCGATAACATGCCACCGCGCATCGTAACTTTTTAGAGCGGGTAAAGGTGTATGAGTGCTTCTGAAGCAGCAATCAAATAAGCCGGCCCATCCCTATCGCCTGGAAAGCAAACGCGATAACATCCATCCGTGAGTTAGAATTGCCGTCGAATGCCATACAGAAAGGAAACCACCTCGTCTTGAACTATCATGAAAAAAGGCGGGGTTTGAGGAAAGAAGGGGGTCGCTTGAATAGCAATGATGAACTTTGATTTCAAGGGCGTGGTCGCAATCGCTGGCCAATGTGCTATCTCGGTAAGCATCAGTGCACTTTCAACGCAAAGAGACTGTGAAGCAAGCACTTCTCCCTGAAGCGGCCGCATTTAGCGTTTCGTAGGAGTTCCGTGATATCGTATCCTTAAGAGTTCGCTGCCAGCCTTACTTCGTATAACATTATAATTTGTTGGTATCACATTCATTGCATTCCATTCAATGTGCCACCGTGTTGTTGCCAGAATTAATCAGCTAATCATGAAGGCTGCAGTCTCGCGGTGCAGAAGCGCGTGATGAGTTGACCTCTGAAAATTCTTTATTGTAACTGTGATCTCAGAGAGTTTCCATCAGCACTTAATCGGAAATCCCCCTGGTTGTGACGACACAGTTGTTAACTCTACGCATAAAAATAAACAAGGCTTAACGTCGTTGGGGCCCACGCCAGGCGCGTGCATTATTTTGTACACGCCTAGTGTCGCCCTCGACAACGTCCAGCTCAGCCCCACATATGTGAAGCTAACTAAATATAGCGTGGCACTGGCAATGCAAAAGTAGTTTTCTTTTTTAGGGGCAAAGCTCCTTAAGGCGTGGATCTGACCATCCTCTGTTGTTATTGTACGTAGCCACCGAGATGCGAGATGGGAGATTGTAGTGTTCACTAGATGGACACACGGACGGTCTGTGCACAGACTGACTAGCAGATGGACGGACGGATGGATGGACGCGCAGAGCGGGTATGTGCTACAGGGGATTCGAGATCCGAGATGGCGGTTCTTGGAGTGTTCACTAGATGGACCAACGGTCGGACGGATGGACAGACAGACGGACTAAAAGATGGACAGACCCATAAATGGATGCACGAATGATCGCGCGGACAGACGAAAGCAAGGACGAACGGAAGCACGGACAGGCTGATGGACGCTTCGCCTCACTCATCATCATTCACTCCGAGGATATGCTGCGACTTTTTTTGTTTGGGGAGGGGTGGAGGGCATATGCACCCGCAAACGACAGCAACGCCGGCTCGACGGACGCAGGCCTGCCTGTGTGCAATTACGAGAGCTCGCTCTCACCTGGGAGCCACCGAGCCACGAGCTTGCCGCCACCGCTTCGCGCTTTGTCAGTGGTGGGGCAACCGCAAAAGGTGCATGCTCGTGCTAAAATGACAAAATTCAGGGCAGAAATTTTTAGATTGTTCGTGGCGAAAATTCGTTATATCAAGGTTGTCTCCCACTGTGACTTTGTTACATAGAGGCTGCATATGCATGTGCCTTTATGGAGTAACAGGCGTGGAGTATAAAAACTTTGTTATATCGAGGAATGATTATATAGAAGTTCGTTATAAGCAGGTTTACCTGTATATGCTACGAGGCGATTAAACTGGCAGTTAACATGATGAGGAAAAAAGAATTTAAAAGCTTGATGAAGGAAAAGGATTATTGAGTCATTTAGGGGATATAAAATTAGACAATTATAAGGTTACGTAAGAATAAAGTTGCTACAGGACTTTAGTTCAAATAATATCTAAATGAGAATTCCAAATAAGTAGGATTTCATTAGGAATAACCATACCTTCTTGTCTCGCTAAGGAATTCGCAAACTGCTATGCAAGTTCCTGTTGCTGTGGCTCGGAAAAGAAGCCTCAAGAGAAAGGATATTTTCAGAACTAAGGGTAATACTAAATTTCTTAAATAAATTTTCTAAATGCTTTTTTCTATGACTTGTGAAACATTGATCATTTTTATTTACTTGCCAACGTTTCAAAGGATCAAAAGAGCATACTCCGCAGCGTCGTCTTTCTTTGAGGAACGGTGGTTGCTGCTCAGGCACCTCGTTCACTTCGTTGTCCTCGGCCATCCTGTGGTATTCTAGTCCTGGGAATATGCCAGACAGCGTTTAATTATCTTCTTGGTTAAAACATAAAGATAAGTAAGCTCAATCCACAAATTCACGGTGTGTTAGCGTCTAATGCAGTCCACCACTATGAATCAGTGGCTACGGCACTCGGCTGTTGACCCGTAGGCATTTTCGGGGTGGGTGGCGGGCAATAAGGTGGCGTTCTGTATACTGTTTTGTGCCTCTGTGATGTTTCTCATAACGATATCATAGTTTTGAAGCATAAAACTTCCCAGAAATTATTGTTATTATTAGTATATGTAATTTCTTCGAAGATGTATCGGCTGGTTTTCAATGAAAGTTAAAGTTCTTTATGCTAATGTAAGTACTGCTTGAAATGCTAAATAAAATAGTCTCTTTGGCTGAGTAGTGGCATTGGACTTTCTGCTAGAATTGCTAGGGCATTAAAGCTGTGTCTAAAATCACATGCATGTCTCTATATGGAAACCTTCGACTGTCTTTGGCATTAATGAATGTTTCACGATGCAAAAATAAGTGAGCATAGTAATGTTGAACCAACTGTGTGAATTTTTTTAGCATGGATGGTTATGGCTGTGGGAGTAGCTGGCATGTGTTCCTAGGTTGTAGGCGAGTATAGACATGAAGCCCACTACTTCAATGAACTACGCTTCCCAGCATGTCCACAAAGTTCACTATTTTGTTTCTCTCAACTCACAGTTAGTTTGCACCTAAAGGGGCCCTGCAACACTTTTTGAGCATGGTCAGAAAACGCTGCCGATCGGTAGCAGAGGCTGCCGACAACACGCGAGCCAAATATAATAGCGCCGCATGCTGCCTGGAATTCACAATTAATTATCAAAGTCAGGTAAAAATTGCTTTCTCTTCTCTCGATAAATCATGGAATAAGCCCAAAAATCACTCATAGTAAGCCCATCTATCAGCCATTGGCTGATTTGAACATGGTGTGCTCAGTCGTTACTGAGATCACCGCGGGAGATTGCTACTTATCCACACGTGTGCTCGCGATCACACTGAAAAACTCGTGCATTCGAAGAAAAAAAAAAGGAAAGAGTGCTCAAAGTCGGGAGGACGCGCGCGACATTGTTTGTTTACCCCTCCCATACCTCCCTGCTTAGCTTCCAGCGCTTTCTTCGGGACGAGATAAAAAGAGAATGCGATTGCAGCATATGACAAATCTTTGTAACTCCACTCGTACTGAACAGATTCTTAAAATTTTTGCGGCATCGACTTTTTGAGGCAGTACGCTGTCCAGTGAATTAATTTCATGGTTGCTCAAAAAGTGTTTCAGGGACCTTTAAGTGACGCCACCTGGGCCCCCAATCGCAGGTCATAGGAAAAGGCCTACGCTACATGAGATTAGAAAGTGACCAGCTTTGGAAATTAGAAAGTGACCATGATTTTGATTTCAGTGCATCGCTTCTTGCTCTGTGTTGTGCTGTTGGAAGGTGTACTTTCTATAATTTTAGGAAGCGTGTGCATAACGTGGAGCATTGTGTTCGCAGGCACCGAAGGAGGAGGACCACTCGGTGTTGCAGCAGCCTATCACCTTGGGTGTGCAGGGTGTGCGCCAGATCGTTCAGTGCATGACCAATGGCAGCCGGGAAGTCAAGGACGTGCTGCTCAACGAGTGCAGCGTGCTGTTCGAGTGCAAGGTGTGCCGCAGCCTGTTTCGCAGCTTGGCCAACCTGCTGGCCCACAAGCGAGTCTACTGCACGCGGCACCTGTGCGAGGCAATGCCCCTGTGCGCGCTGTCAGCCCCAGCGGAGGAGCCGACCACTGGTGGTGAGCTGCAGCTAACCACCATCACGGGCAACACTAATGCCATGTACCAGCGGGTGGCTCGCGAGCAGCCGCAGCAGCAGCAGCCGCAGCAGCAAGAGCAGCAGGATAAAGGACCTTCATCAAGTGTAGCCACCTCGTCTCGGACGAGCTACCTGTCGGCGCGCAGCGACTGTGACTTGACCCGGCTGGCGTGTCTCAATTGTGACACCACGTACACGTCCGTCAAGACGCTCTACCTGCACATGGTGTCTCTGCACTCGACCACGCGCCGCTACTACCCGTGCCCACTGTGCCGCGCCAGTTTTGTGCAAATGTGGGGCGTCACACGCCACCTGGTAAGTGTGCATGGCCAGACCAAGGAACAAATTGTGCAGCTGCGCGACAGCATCCGCGGTGGTGTCCAGTTGCGCAAGAGCAGACTGCAACACATGGTCGACTGCTTGCTGAGAAACAATGGCACTGCCGGGCTCTGCAGCCGCTGCGGCCGGCCGTCCACTGGCTGCCCCTGCTCTCCCCGGACGTCGGCGGTAACGGCAGCAAAAAAAGCCCGCCGCAAAGGCGTGCCGCGGCGCAGGCCGCCCTCAACTCCAGACAGGACTTCTGAGAGAACAGTGCAGCCGCCGCGCAACAGTGCTTGCAGCAAGCGCGTCTCGCCAGCCATGGAGCGCAAGATTCTGGCCATCATTGACTATGACCGGCTGGCGTGCCTGCGCTGTGATCGGCTCTTCTCCAGCTTCTCGATCCTGCGACGGCACGCAGCTGTGCATTTGGGCTACAGTCGGTACCAGTGCACTCGCTGCAGCTACCAGTCTTATAATCGCGCGGACTGCCGCAGCCACGTGCAGCGCGTGCACGCAGACGCAGCGCACGATGCGGAACGCATGATTGTGCACGTGCCGGGTGAAGAGGAGAGTGGCCACCCGATGGCTACGCGCTTCCCGCGCCTCGACTCACTGTCGACGCTCGTCACACGCTCGGGTGCCTACCCCAAGAGGCCGCCGCCTCTGGGGCCTCAGAAGTAGCTCGTTATTTGATTATACAGTGCCCGATAAAATCTTATGTGGCAAAGGCCGAGTGTGGGTGGAGCGGATGCGCCTCAAAGTCCCGGCGATCGCAGTCGTGCGCAGTGCTGCGAAGCCGCGTTGCACTTGGCTCGACTACATGCACAAGCAGGCACGGTGCTGCGTCAGACAGCCCTGAAAGTGGTGGGCCCCATCATGCGCAAAATAAAAATATCGTTTGGTGGGGGTCAAGCTGCCCTTGGTTTTATGCTCAGTGTTGTATAGTTATTGCACAGCATATATAGTTGAGAGCATCACACACCTTCCGTTTTGGCCCTGGGCTCGTTTCGTTGTCGTTTACTGCTTTGGTAACAGTCATTGTGCGTTAATATTTAATTTGCTGCCCTTGGATTTCATTGCAAAAAAAGTCGAGACAAACCAGTGACCCGGCCCTATGAGAACAATCGAGTGAGTAGATGGTAAGTTGTGGTTTTTGAGGACATCACTTTAGGGAAGGAACTGAAATGTGGATTTATTGATAGCAAACCAAGTAACTTCGGCTATGACCTTTTTGTGAACAATGTTTCCAAAATAACACAGGCAACATCGGCTTCGACGTTGATCAGTGGCAAGTATTTGCAGACGAGTATGAGCAAAACGCCGTGGAAAATCTTGTAGAAAAGTAACAGCTGCTTTCATTGCTCATTGAAAGTAGCTTTCAGGAGCATGTATGAAGAAATGTGAGTATTGCTTAACTGGTGTTAGGTATGGAGATAGGCTGGATTTTTAGGCACTAAAAATCGCATTTTAGGCGCCAAAAATAGGCAGACAAAACCCAGTTTTTGGCCTCCAAAGTCTTAAAGATAGACACGATAAACTTTTACAAAAATTCACATTTTTGAAAAGACGTCAACGACCTGTGTCTACATAGCAAAGCCGATTGTCAATGCTGGCATAGCAATGCTAATTAAGTTGTCCTTTTTACCGCATGGTTTGAAGAATACGGTCTCTTCTTTTATTGCCCAACACTGGTAAGGCAAGTCTCCACCATGGAAGAAAGACCATGCTCCTGGGTATCTTTCTTTTCGGCGTGGCTAAGAAGGGCAGCACAAGAGCAAATAGCCAGACCACTAGAAAGCCAGAAGGGTCTTTTAGCCTCGTATTGGCCAGGTGTAACTACGCAAGGTCTATTTCTCCTCTGTCTGTGAACACCTTAAAAGGTAGTTACCAGGTTTCAGTATTTCGAGCTGGCAAGTGTAAGGCATGCACTGGGTGCGCACGATCACATCTGCCGAGATTGTCAGTGTTACGAACCCCAGAAAAAGGTGGAATGTCCAACTGAACGCTGCTTGCTTATCATCTCATGGGTGCGCGCCATAATATAGAGGTAACAATCCAAGAGTATATGTGACACTGCGAGAATTATTCCAGGCAACATTGGTAATTTGTGCAGTACTGGGGAAAGCTGCACCAATCGTGCCAACCTGCACCAATTAGAAAGTCGCTGCGTTGGCTGCGTATCCCGAACCCCACAGTAGTTTTGAAATGCTCTTTGATCTCTCCACCGTGCGCCTTTAGACAGTCATGCGAGAATGCCAATCATTTCTAACATTTTCAAAAAGAAAGAAATGGCTTCATGGTGGGGGCATTAGGCAACATCGGCACTATATTTATTCCTTCTTGAGCGGTGATGGCGCATGTAAAGAAACAGAAGTGTGTACTTTGTCACTGGCGTGTGCATAGGGGGAGGGACAGGGCTACACATAGTCATAGGGGGGGCGAGAAGGGGGTGCAGTCAGCCCCTATCATGACATAAGGAGGGGGGGGGGGGGCACTTGAGGAACCTTTGCCCCCTCCCTCCTTAGATCAAACCCTGCGCAAGCTTGTGTACTTGCAGTCTCTCCTTTAGTGCTTACTACGTTTAGTCTGCAGTTAGCACCGTTCCTGGCAAGTTCTCGGCATGCATGAACGTATTGAGGTTTTACTGTAATGAGCTTTGAATGAGTCTGTGTGTTGATGTGTGAGTTTGTGTGCGCGTTGCTATGAACCGCGTGCTGCTGCTAGCTTGTTGGTGCAATATTCATCACTACCTTATATGACCGGTTCTGTCCCTAATCCTACTTTGGTTTATGTTTTTGCTTATTTTGTGGGCTCGCTGCTTCTAAGTAGTTATGTGAACTGAGTGAAGGAAAATAAATGAAGGGCTCGTTTTCTTTGGTAGACTCAATAATAGTGAGAAATATTAGACAATAATTACAGGGAAAGCACAATGGTTGTTATTAGAAACAATTGTAATAACATGTGGAGAAAGAAAAGTGGACGGAAAAATGACTGATCACTTTCAGTATTGGAACCTGCGACCATCAAGTAATGCGTGCGATGCTCTATTACTGAGGTACGTTAAACTAAATTTAAGCTAAAGTTTCTTCCTTGGTGTGCGTTATAGAAAGCTCGTGTGTTCTCCAAACATTGAGGCAGCTGCTCCAAAAGCAGATTTTGCCAGCTCCAAGAGAAGCTTTAAAATGCTCGAAGGCAATCTCGCCACTGTATCTGCTTGCTTTAATCGTGTGACATCATGGGTGTTGACATGACGTCACACGATGGAGGGGATTGAAAATAAAGATGTTGAGCTGTTCCAGAGAGGTTGTCTCGCAGGTAAACTGCGCGAAACTTGTTTTGTCTGCAAGAACAAGCGTGCATATATTAAAAAATAGAACGCCAGAAAACAGTAGGAGCAAAACATTTATTTACAAAGCCCAGTTTCTTTTGTGCTTGCTTTATATTAGAAACAATGCATGCAGTTATTTGGCCTCAAGAGTTGTGGCTTTGTGTTTTTTTTAAATTATCGGCAGCGTCAAGAAGTTTGTCGTTCAGCTTCCTACAAAAGTTCTTTAGCAGAATGTTGGTGCTGCACTGCAGGATGTGTTTCTGCCCTAATTCAACTGTGTGGCCATTCTCACACGTATCGGACTGCTCCTCACTAGCCAGCAATAGTAGTGTTATTTTGGTTACGACCTTGCATTGTTCAGGTGTCATAAGCAGCGCTGGCTTTGTAGTGAGCTGCTCTACTACAACGTAGCCGTGAGCAACTGTTTTACGTGCAAATATTGATGGATAGACCAAGTTTTCTCGATCCAGCTGCTTCACGAGACCATAATGTTCGTTTGAGGCAGAGACTGTTATCTTGTCCACGGTCAACGAGTCCCTAGATTGCTCGCAGTTCAACTTTTAAAGTGTCCCATATATTGCATAACCTGCAACGTAGACGAGGAATGGGAGGACGTCCTGCATCTTCGTAAAAGCCTAGCTGGTAACAACTACGTTACTGCTAGGAGGCAATGCCTCGACTTGCTTTTGGACATATTCCCAGTGCTGATAAGGAAAAACTGTACGCGAGGTGCTCTGCAAGGGTAGCTTGTTTCCGACTTCATATATCTGTCTGATAGAGGTGTGATATTGCGTACCTGCCAGCTGCCTATTCCTTCCGAACTGGTCTTCAGGGTAGTCTGACTGAATATTTCATAAAAGGACATAGTATTACATTTCAAGTTCTTTGAAGACGTACCTAGCGAACTCAACAAGTGTGTAGGTGTTGTGTTCAAGAGCAGCACGAGTCTTCTTTGTTGAAGTATCCTTGCCAAAACCTTTGTTTTTCCACTTCAGAAACTTCCACTTCAGAAAATAGCCGCTTCAGGAACATGTGCAAAACGTCAATTTTTGGATCGTTATCAATGGAAAGCACTGGTTGTTGGAAGTGATCTCTAAGCGAACCCTTCCGTGGAGCTTTGACGTTTACAATTTTCCACCACTCGACTATGTTCTCGATGAATGTAGCTGTGGCCTCGAAAGAGAATAAGTTATGCTTTGCTCCAACAGCACATAACGCCTCTGGTAAATAATCATTGAAGATTTGTAAAGCAAGCCTTACATCATGCCTTTCAAGACTCGAAAGGTAGAGGGCTTTTTTTAACAGCCCATTGCCATATTTCAACTGCTGGTCGCACTCTTTGCTGTCAAAGTCCCTGATTGTTGCAATGACGCTGTTTGCATTCACTCTGAGTCTTGCATATATCCGTGGATCTCCGGGAGCTAGAAACAAATTTGGTCATTCTTGTGGTTTACCTAGTTATTTCTTATGCATTTTAGAATGTGCACTGGGTCTGTAATGAACAGCGGCTTTGAAGGGTCTGATGAATGTTGGTACACAATTCTGTTACGTTGAGGTGATTCGAAAAGTGACATCGCTTTTCTGTTCACGGAGTTGTTCTGGCTGACGACGCACATAACTCGGTACTCAATCTTTTCCAACCATCAAATCACGTTTTAAAGTGTCTTTTGCAGGACCTCTGCCTCTACTCGGTGCATCGGCACGATGTGCGCAACTTCTTTGAATTTACACATCAGGCTGCGCACCATGAAAACGAGTGCATAGGTAGCAGCTTCATTTCTATTAAGTGCAGCGGCAGTAATATCGACTCCTTTGTAGTTAAAGTAAGGTTTTATATGTATTTCATCGACTATAACTGTGACAGCGCTGGTCATCTTTCAGGTGAGAAATGCTAATTGCCATGTAGCTGAGAAATGTAGAGTTATCGTGAGAGTTTTGTTTTGTAGAGTTAACGTGAGATCGAATCTAAAGGAGCCAACTGGGAGCCTTGCTTCGTATAACATTGTGATTGGCCCGCCAGATGTCTCAGTGCAAAAGTACGAGGCTGAGGCGACAGCAACTGCAAGACCCCGCAGTTCGACAGCACGAAGCGGACAAACAATGTGCCCACATGCGACTACAATTAATATTGTTACTAAAAATGCTAGCCTTGCTTTGTAAAACATTTGAATATGCTACTATCGCATTCATTGCTTCGCATGCTATCACATTCATTGCTTGGTGAAAGTGACTTTTTTGCACCACCAACGGCATGAATGCGTGTGTTGCCCAGCAAAGCTTTGCGCTGGTGATTTTGTCCTCGTAAACTGCTGTCATCACAAAGCGCAAAAAACCGCCCCGCCGCTGTGATACTGTGGCTTAGATAATTTTGTCCTCGTAAACTGCTGTCATCACAAAGCGCAAAAAACCGCCCCGCCGCTGTGATACTGTGGCTTAGATACTCGGCTGCTGACCCGCCGGTCGCGGGATCCAATCCCGGCTGCATTTTCGATGGAGCTGCTCAAAGCGTCAAATTTTGTTGCTGCGTCGTTTTTGCTTTTATTTTTTGTTCTTAATTCTCTGTGGGGATATCGAAATGAATCCTGGCCCTGTCGTTAATGTGACGCTACAGAAAATTTTGGATGGGCAAAACGCAAATGTTCGAAAGCTTAATACCATTGAAGCAAACCAAGCGGAACATGACTTGAGTGAATGAGTATCGCCAATGGAAGGGAAAACGTCAGTGCTGTCAAAATTAGAAGCCGCTATCACTGAGTGTACCGCGCGCTGTGATACCCGGCACGGGGTGATACAGTTGCTTTAAAATAAGATTGATGATCTTGAAAATCATAGTAGACAGCATAACTTGGTATTCCACGACATACCTGATACAAGTGTCCACGAATCCTGATCACAATCTGAATCGCTCGTGAAAGAAGTATGCTCGACAAAATTACAAGTTAACTCCGAAACGACAGAAAAAGCACATTGGTTGGTTGGTAAGAACTTTATTGGAAGTCAGGCAGAGCTTTCGCCGACCGGACCCTAGGTCTCCCGCGTGGGGACGTCAAGACCTTGCCCTGACCGCCGCCTCGCGGGCCTGCTGGACGGCCCAGAGTTAGTCACCGAGGCTAGGGCTGTACAGGGCAGCGGCGAACCGCGGCGGAAGGGTTCCGGATTTAGCACCTTGCGGATTTCTAGCGCAGTCCCAGAGCATGTGACTTAATGTGGCAACCTCACTATGGCATATATTGCATATATTCGTCGGATATATGTTGGGGTATAGTCTGCTAAACAGCGATGGGTTGGGATACGTGTGCGTCTGCAGCTGTCGCAAAGACACCGCCTGCATCCTGTTCAGCTTCTCGCTGGGTGGAGGAAAGGTTCGGCGGGCCAGGTGGAAAGCCTTGGTAATTTTATTATAAGTCGTCAAACAATCTTTGGTGTTTCCCCATAGAGGACGGTCGCCGTCGCGGTTCACGAGCTCGCGTGCCTTGGCGTGTGCCGTCTAGTTTAGGTTGCGGTGTGTCTCCGATACCTCCCCTATGTGAGCCGGGAACCACGGGACTCTGGTTTGAAGCTCTGTCTCTTGATAAAATTTTCTATTGCGCAGGACTTTAGCCGCTTGTTGCGAGATCCATCCTTTGGCGAAGTTTCTTGCTGCTTGTCTCGAATCGCAGAGGACAGTAGTGCATGACGGATCCGTGAGCGCGAGCGCCACCGCTACTTCCTCCGCTTCTTGTGCGTGGTCACATCGAATACTTGCCGATAGTCTCGTTTCGCCTTTCCAATCGATGACCATGACTACAAATCGCGAGCGGTCTGCGTATTGAGCGGCGTCAACGAACCGCGTTCCCATTTTGTCGGCGTAAGTGCGCAAGAAAGTTCTTGCCCTGGCCACTCTTCTGCCCGGGTTGTGTTCCGGGTGAACGTTGCGTGGAATTGGCTCAACCCTTATCGTTTGTCGGATCGCGTCTGGCACAGCGACTTTCTGGCTTTGTTCGGTGTAATAACGGATGCCGAGACTTTTCATGATATGGCGTCCCGCTGTCGTGCCCGATAGTCTTTTCAGTTGTGAAGTGCGCTGCGCCTCGGCTATTTCGCTTAACGTGTTGTGAAGTCCCAGTTGAAGTAGCAGGTGTGTGCTGGTGGACTCGGGTAGACCCAGTGCCACCTTGTACACTCTGCGGATAATGACGTTGATCTTGGCTTCTACCTTGTACCAGTTGTGAAATGCCGCACTGTACGCAATATGACACATGACGAAAGAGTGTATAAGTCGTATGAGACAATCCTCTCTCATTCTGCTTCTTCTGCTAGTGACCCTCTTGAGAACTGTCATGGCGTTTGCAGTCTTGTGTTTTAGTTTAGTGATCATTTCACCGTTAGCTCCATTTGCCTCGATTATCATACCGAGGACCCTTATTCTTTTTACTATCGGAATCGTTGCTCCGTTACTCGTGCGTAGCCTGATCTCTTCGTATTCTCGTCTGGTCCTCGCCGCCATTCCCCTAGGCCCGAGTGGCCTACCTCTCTCTGTGTGTGGGGCGGTAGAGCAGGAGCTCGGACTTTTTTGGTGAGCATCGTAGTCCTCTTCCATCGAGATATTCCTCTACTGTGTCGATTGCTAGTTGTAACACCGTTTCGATGTGGCCATCGCTGCCTCGGTGCACCCAGATAGTAATGTCGTCGGCGTAGATTGAGTCCCGGACGTCTTCAATTGCTTGCAGTTTTTCAGCGAGCCCAATCATGACTAGGTTAAAGAGTATGGGCGAGATTACCGATCCTTGTGGTGTGCCAGTGCTTCCCAACATTTGCTCTTCTAGTTGGAGGTCTCCTGCCACCAGAACGGCTCGCCTGTCCGTCAAGAAATCTTTTACGCAGTTGTACGCACGTAGACCGAGGTTCTGTCGAGATATTTGGTGCAGTATCGCCGAGTGCTCGATTTTATCAAACGCGCTCTCGAGGTCGAGGCCAAGAATTGCT